TGTAGAACACATTTTTTTTCAAGAATAAAATTACTCTCAAATGGAAACTCCACCTCTGAAATACATACAATGCTCAAGGGAGCTTCAAGAATACTGTTAACTCAAAGGGGTGATCACACAATAGGCAAAATCAATAGAAACATTCCCCAAACTATCATTTTTTTATTTTGTGGTCCACATACAACAGATACAAGTCAGGATACCTAGATTCAATTCTCTGCATAAGGATCTCCCAAGCACCCTTGTAGAAATCACATTAGCCCTTCTGTATCTTAATTCCCCTAACAGCAGGATTGATATGACAACCTCTATGAGTACTGAGATACATTGAAAAACACAGACACTGTTGAAATACATGTTATGAATACTATCCCCAGTCCATTAGAAAGCAAAAGGATTAGCACAGCCTTTCAACTGCATCTTTGTCTTTTTTCATCTCAAATCTGATAAAGGTTTCTCCTTGTAGAATATTACATATTATGGCAATTATAGGAAAATATTATGGCAATGTAAAGCAACAGAATGATGGTATTTTCTCCAGTGTTAACAGTGGCATTGTTTATGTGCATGGCCAAGTGCATTCCGCATTTGATTTAATCAGGGTTATCAGTGCTGCATGGATGGAAAAGTATGAAGCACTAACATCTAAGATATAAGTGAATATTAATTAAATTAAACGCAAGAGAAATTAATTATTCATTTAATTAATTAAGTAGAAGAAAAGCTGCAATGGCACAGCGAATATTTTTGTTACTAAATTATCTAAGTAAGCTCTTTTCCTTATTTTTCATGTTTGGGCAGCTGGCACCTTTCTGATGTTGCTAAAGAGTAAATCACTCCTAAGCCCCAAAATGATGCAGCGATGCCACCCAGCGGCTCAGCAGCAGCCACTCACACGGCCTACAGCACAGTCCTCGCTGATGCCTCGAGCCTGCGTGGCCTGTGATCCATCAGCAACCCATCCAAAACCGCCACTGGGCACAGACGGTTAAACACATCTCTGCAATTTTCAGGAGAAAGGAGAAGCAAAGAAACGATCAGAAAACGGCATCATTTTCCGGCATTCACACACTGTTTCTCTGAAGGAAGCGTGGTGGCTTGAGCCCGGAGTCTGCCTGCATTAGCACAGCATTTACTTGTGCCTCAAGCAAGAGAAAACTATTCCCTTGGCCTGCTGAGATCCTCTTTTTTTGGCATAGCAGACTCAAAAGTGTATGACTGATTTGTCCTTGGCACTGCAGAAGCCATGTGCTTGTTAGCTATGTGAGAAGTCAGTAACAAGTCAGTAAAATCTCAAAAGCTGTTAATTTGGTGGTCTGGAGTATATGCAGGCTGGTAACAAAGACGTTTCCATACAACATCTTGGAATTCTGCCTGTTTTGGAATGAAAATTTTATTCACACTTTTATACGGTAACACTGATTTCATATTACTCACAAAAGGCAGGGTACGTTAACTTAAGCATATGTTAGATACTTGTATTTCAGGAAGGCAGAAATGCCTTTTCAGAGCTTTCTCCAGCATGCAGCCTCCAGATTTGTTGCTCTTTTCATTAACAGGCCAAGGAGGCTGCAAAAATTGAATATGATGAACTGCTAGCAAGGTCTCATAACAAAAGCCTAATAATAAAGTTACCTCTTCAGGTTGCCTTCTGATTGTTTAAAAAACTGTTTTTTAATCATTTTACCTTAGTCAATACCTAATTCAATAAAATCAAATCTAGCAAAAATAAAATGTTAGCTGTGTCCCAGCTGTCTCAGATCTAATATGAGGTAAAAGCTGTAATCATGAATCAGAGCTTCACTGTGTTAAGGACTGTATAAATATAGATACTTCAGAGACAGCAACTTTTACCAAAAGAAACCCCCATTCACCTCCTCCAAAAAAGTTCTCTATATATACCAGCATTTCCCAAATACCTCAACTGTTATAATAGGACTGTAAATATGATGGGACAACCCAAAAATACAGAGGGAAAGAAAGTGGGTTTTTTTCCAGGGAACGTTTACTAGAAAGACACATAAGGTAACACAAGCAGCCAGCTGCAGACAAAGGCAAGAGGAAAACTACATTGCCTGGCTCTTTGCTTTAAATCCTGGCTATCAAAAGCTCTTCCACCAAGCAGAAATGGCCAGGAGTTAAAATTAGAACCTCTCCACCTGTGAAGATGCAATGTACTAAATTAGAGCCAAGCTCTCAGAGATGCTGCTAATTATCATTTAATTATTGCAGTCATAGAAATAGGAGATGCATGTATGTTTGCAATAGGTAAAGTGCATCATGAGAAAGATAATCACATTGAAAAAATATCTACATGACCTCTTTTCTATATTCTCAGTGTGCACAGGTAAACAAGTCGTTGCATTACACATATTTCTAGTTCTAAAAGCCCCTGAGAACATTCAGCTTCTGACAATTAGAAATCCTCAAGAAAATTATCTCACACTTAATGATTTAATGTGCATCTCTCTTCACACTCAAATCTGCAGGCTGAATTAGACAGCTTAAAAAAATTCCTCATGCAACAAGCACAACTTTATAACCTACCAGCAAAGTAAAAAATAGAGAGAAAAAGGAAATTTTATGCTGAAGAACAAACCAGCATGTACTAGAATCAGGAAAAAAATACCCACGCAGAAGGTAACTAGACCCTTTTGTAAAAAATAAATAAAAATTAGTTTAGGACCAACACAGGAGGGAGGCCCTAAAACGGCAATTCAAAACAGCAGCATGGGTGCAAAGCCTGACTCATTTAAAAACGGAGGAAATAAGTTTCTGCCATAGTTACTTGCATTACTGGTAATGCCCTGGGGGTCAGTGACCCTTGATGCTCTCTGCAGTGCTGTCAAACCTGCCAAACCCAAAGTAACTCAAGCTAAAAAGGACCCCAAGGAGGTCTCTAGTTCAGCCTCCAGGGTTCCATCAGCCTCAACGTGAAGATTTTTTCCTTTCATCAAGAAAGGAATTTCTTATGCTGCAGCCAGTATTTGTCACTTCTCCTCCCACTGTGCCTCCAAGAGGAGCCTGGTTCTACAGCCACCTGTCTGGGAATTGAAGACAGCGAGGCCATCCCCCATAAGCTTTCTCTTCTTGTGGCTGAAAAAAAACCATTTTTCTGGTTTCAGTACCAGCACTTTTGCTTACACCTTGCATTCTAGCACCTTCACTGGTGGCCAGCCAGCCTGTTCCCACACAGCAGTGCCTTCCTCGCACTGTGCAGCTCAGAACAGAGCACAGCTCTCCAGCGCTGTCTCCCAAATCCCTCCTCCTGTCCCGAGCCTGCAGTCCTGCCGGCAGGATCCGTATGCAGTTGACATCTCTCACCAGCAGAGCACACTGCTGGCCCACACTCAGCTCGCTGTCTGCCAGGGCTCCAGGGCCACTCCTGCCAAACTGCTTTCCAGGCAGCTTTCCCGACTGTGCTGCAGGGCTCCGGTCTGCCCGGGGCGGGCAGGGACTCTCCATTCGACTTGGAATCCCTTGGGCGTCCTGTCATCCCGTTTCCCTAGCATGGGCAAATCCATCTGAAGGGCAGTTCTGCCCTCCAGCCTACCAGCTACTCCTCCCCATTCGACACTGCCCACTAACTAGTTTAACAGCATGTTCTGTCCAGCTGCTCCTGTCTGACAGTAAGGCATAAAGTAGCATCAGCCCTAGTACTGACCTCTTAAGAAATGCCACTAGCTACCAGCTGTCACGTGGACCTTGCACTGTCTGGCAGTCCAGTCAAATTTCCATCCACCTATTTAAACCACATCTTACTGGTTTGGCTAAAAGGACACTACAGAACCTGTAGAGAAAGCCTCAGTGAAGTAGAGATGAACATCAGGCACTGCTCTCCTTGTTTACAGAATCACTTACCACAAAAGTTCACACAGTTCACACTTGGCAAACCCATCTCAGTTGTTCCTACCCTCATCTTTGTCCTTTATTTGCTTGCAAACGGCTTCCAGGTGGACTTTCTCCATAGTCTTCCTGAAGATTTAGATCAGGCAGGCCAGGTGCTCCCTTCTTATCCTTATAGACAGTGGGCATACTAGTATGTTTGACCTTTTCCAGCCATCATGAAGCTTCCTCAATCACTACGACCTCTCCAAAATGTGCAAGAAGCCTCACAGTGACATCAGTCAACTACCTCAGCACCCTTGCAGGCATCACATCTGCTGCCATGAATACACAAATGTGACTTGCTCAAGTGCTGGTTTCTTGCACCGTACAAAATGCTTCAGTTCAGCGTAAGTCAAAAGTTTCACCAAATTTAAATTGGAGACAAACTATGAGTTAGGTGTAACTGAGTCCTGATTTATTTAGGTTAGTTTAATATAGTATCACCATAGCCTAAACACTGTTTAGTCAGATGTGTCTTCTCGCATCATCCCTAGGCTTCCTTGGCATGTACCTGAGATTTTGGACAACGAGATGGATCTTTTCTAGTCTTCATTCCACAATCTCTCCCCTTCAAAGTTGAGGTTTCCTTTTAATTTTCATTTACATACTCTTGCAAATACAGTCACTTAACTGTAAGGTATTTCATACTCTGCTTTAGACCTTGTACCTCCTTCTACATGTTGTGAGCATTCAATTAGAGTTTTTCTCCTCCCCATGTCTTTCTCAGCCCACTTTAGTCTATTTTTTCACACGTTCTTCTCGTATTTATGTATCTCCCCTCCTCTTCAACTTTTCCTATCACACATTACCCTGAAAACTCTGGAGATTTCTTGGATGCCAGTCCAAAGTATTGTAAGGCATCTTTCTTCATCCAGCATCAAGAGGCTCTGTTGCCTTGACACCAATAAGCAACAACACAGGATAGAAATTATCATCTCATCTGTAGAAAATCACAGATCTTGCAAGGCACTCCTGTCTGTTTGACAGAGTTGAGCCTAGACTTCATAAGTTCAGTGCCCA